GCTCTCTCTCTCTCTCTCTCTCTCTCTCTCTCTCTCTCTCTCTCTCTCTCTCTCTCTCTCTCTCGGCCCGTAGTCTCTCCTCCCTCCATCAAAAGAGAGAGAGAGAGAGAGAGAGCTCCCTCCCTCACCCCTGCCCCATCGGCCCTCCCTCCTGCCTCCCTTTCTCCTTCCTTCTTTCCTCCCTCGCCTTCTCCCTCCTCCTTCCGGTGGCGTCACCGACCTCAGCCCTCCGTCCTCCCTCGCTTCGTGCTCCCTTATCTGGGGACGATATAGGGCGTGCATTCCGTTTTTCTTAGCTTTCTCAAATTGCATTAAGGCTTAGAGCCACATTGTTTTTCTTTCAATGTGAATAAGGGCGAGCGTGTGCTCTCGAGCGTGCGGTCGCACATAGATGCACACAGCGAGGGGTGTGGATGTGTGTGTGGGAGAGAGAGAGAGAGAGAGAGAGAGAGAGAGAGAGAGAGAGAGAGAGAGAGAGAGAGCTGACTCAGTGTGGTGTGTGTAGGGATTGGGGAGGAAGAGAGTGAAATATGGAAAGAAATATCGATAGCCTGAAATACCTGCCGCAGGGCAGTTAATCAGAAGGCTGGTCCAAAAAGAAAAGACCGAGTGAGAATGTTGAGGAGGAAGATCTTGAGGAGGCAGAAGACGTGGTGGTGGAAGAGAGACAGACAAGGACAAAGAAGGTGCGAGGAAGGAAGTGTGTTGGGTGAAATGCATTTCTCTCTCTCTCCTGCTTACCCTCTCTCCTTCTTGCGTGTGTGCAACAGTGTTGAGATCTTAAAAGAAATGGAGCGATCTTGATAACAAATGGCGCGTTTACGTCCACCGAATGAAGGAAAAGAAGTATTTCTTACGTCTGGCGTTACGAAGGAAGGGCGGTCGGTCAAGGGAGGAAGGGGGAGGTGGGGAGTAGGACGGAGGGAGGAATGGAAGTAGGAGCTCAGGTGGTGAGCGGGCTGAAGGGGAGGGAGGAGATCGAGGGAAGGAGGAGGTCAGACAGAGATCAGGCGAACGAAGGGGGCAAGCGAAGGGGAATAGGCGGACGGAGGCCAGAGGGAGGTTGAAGAGAATGTGTGGAGGAGGCCTGTAGGGAGGGGAAAGGCGGCAGAGAGTAGGGCGGAAGCAGGAGGTCAGGTGGAGATCGGGCCAAGGAAGGAAGGGGAGGAAGGAGATTGGGGGAAGGAGGAGGTCAGTGCAAATCGGGTGGAGGAAGGAGTGGGACGGAGGAGATAGAGGGAAGGAGGTCAGGCGGGGATTGGGCGAAGGAAAGGGAGTCAAGTGGCCAGGCGAGGGAGGACAGAGGGAGGTTTAAGAGAAGGTCCAGAGGAGGCTGGGAGAAAAGGGAGGTGGCAGGGAGAAGTAGGGCGAAGGGAGGACAGAAAGCAGAACGTAGTGCAGAGGTCGAGTGAAGTATGGAGGAAGGGAAGAGGTAAGGGGGAGACGAGCATGGGACACGGAGAGAGAGAGAGAGAGAGTGAGTGAGAGAGAGAGAG